GGTAACCGAATTTTGTAGAATTTCGTTGACAGGAGTTTGTCCTAAATTTATCTCCAACGTCGGCAATATTTTCCAGACTACATGGCGCTGGCCTTGTAATCCTGGGGTCTCGGGTTCGATTCCCGGCGGTGCCCGAATTTATAACTTGTGTTGGGCAAGGCCGTGGTCTAGGCAACACGGTGTTTTCCTCCGGGGGCTTCTCCGGTTTCTCCGTGGCATTCACACACAGAAGAAGGCAATGGCAAACCACTTCTGGATCATCTGCCAAGAACGTATATGAACAGGTCCCAGTCCGAGAAAAGGATGGAAGGATCCTGTTCATATGGACCTGGCGTCAGACAGAACACTAAATAATAAAAATAAGAGAACTTGATCAGTGACGCATACCACACATAACAAAATCACAAACAGCGTCATACCGAATATAAAAAGATGCGACCGGTGACAGCCAGGACGTGCGAGTATTTCAACCTGATCTCTGTGGCTTGCGGTTCAAACTCCGATTTGATTACACGGCGCTGTCCGTCTGGCGCCATTAGATCGTTGTGTTGACTGCGCTACGCGTGCCAGGACACGCCCTGTTCATTCAGCAGGCTTTAAATATTTATGTGTGTAGTGGTCTAATACCAGTGGCAGTTCAATGCCATGGCAGATGCATTCTGAAATGGCCTGCACCCAGAAGACAGGGTTTGTATTGTGGTGGTTTCGTAACATATCAGTTGAAATTAAAATTATTTTCTTTTAGATGTAGCTGAATTTAGAATGTTGTTCATTTTGGTATTAATTAAATATTGTAAATCAGATGACATGTAAAATATTTGTTTACGTCATTGAAATAAGTGTATTTCTGACACGTTGCGTTTTGACGGTACTAAATAAACCACGGAGATGAGACTTGATTATACAAATCAGGGACTGTAGAATCCAAACTACGGAGTTAGTCCAACATCAACAGACATTGTGCAACGACGACTGACAACAACTCGAGTAATAGGTATGACACTAACATACTCCATTTCATGTTAACTGAGTCTTTGTCGATACATATCGATTACACAACATTAGTTCCACAGTTTGTTCCCGAATGGTGTTGCTAAGGTAATTAAATTAAGACGGGTGAGATCAGCAAAGTATGACATAAAGTTTATAAAAGCTTTGGTCGGAAATCAAACAAGAAGATATATTAAGATAATATAAAAATGTATCTCATAAAAATGCTGTTTCATTTTCAAAATTAGTCCCTACATGCGAAGTTTTGCTTGTATTGGATCCCTGACAAGTGCTAACCTAATGTCACGGTTA